CACACCTGTGGTTTCCAGCCAAACAGAACACAGGCATATGAGTTGAACATTTACCTGAGGTAGATACACTCCTTGGAGAGAACAATCATTGAGAAAGAAGGGCTGCCTATGCACAGGGAGACAGCTTAGGGGGCAGGAGTCCATGGACGGCTAGACACTGGAAAGAGGTAACTATGGGGAGGAAGCAGGAGGGGAGCTGTTGCACTGTGGTAAACTGTAGTCAATGTCATGAGACAAAGTATATGTAAACTGCTGTATGGAAAGTGAATTTGCTCTGCAAATCTTCACCCAAATCACAATAATAAAAAAATAAATAAATAAAAAAGGAAAAAAAAAAGATAGTGGAAAGAGGAAAGAATTCAAAGTGCAAATTCTAAAATGAGGACAAATGAAGGACACTGGTAGCAAGGGTAGATGTGAAAAGGAGAACTATCCCTTCCCCTGAAATAGAGGGAAAAACAAAGAGCTATTTTAAAAAGGGTACTTCCATTTTCACAAAATAGAAGGGAAGATCATCTATGAAGAAAACGAAGGGTGAATTTGGGAATCAAAAGAAAACATTCAAAACAAGCATTTACAAATGATGTCGAGAAACAATTATTTGTTATGAAGACCAAAATTGTAACTATCACTAGTCTCAACAAGCTGGATTCAGAAGACGACGTAGAAAAAGGCGTATCATTGCTGATGTCAGATGGATCTTGGCTGAAAGCAAATACTAGAAAGATGTTTGTATTTTATTGACTATGCAAAAGTATTCAATTGTATAAATCCTAACAAATTATGGCTAACATTAAGAAGAATGGGATTCCAGAGCACTTAATTGTGCTCATGAGGAAACTGTACATAGACCAAGAGGCTGTCGTTTTAACAGAAAAAGGGGATACTACATGGTTTAAAAGCAGAAAGGGAGCGTGTCAGGGTTGTATCCTTTCACAATACTTACTGAATCTGTATGCTAAGCAAATAATACGAGAATTTGGACTACATGAAGAAGAACATGGCATCAGGATTGGAGGAAGACTCATTAACAACCTGTGATATGCAGACGACAGAACTTTGCTTGCTGAAAAGTAAGGATGACTTGAAGCACTTACTGATGAAGATTAAAGACTACAGTCTGCAGTATGGATTACATCTCAACATAAAGAAAATGAAAATCCTCACAACTAGACCAATAAGCAGCATCATGATATATGGAAAAAAGATTGACTTTCTCAAAGATTTCATATTACTTGATTCCACAATCAACCCCGACGGAAGCAACAGTCAAGAAATCAGATGACATATTGCACCGGGCAAATCTGCTTCAAAAGACCTCTTTAAAGTGTGAAAAGCAAAGATATCTCTTTGAAGACTAAGGTGCACCTAAAGCAAGCTATGGTATTTTCAATCACCTCATATGCATGTGAGAGCTGGACAATGAATAAAGACCGAAGAAGAGTTGATGCTTTTGAGTGTGGTGTTAGTAAAGAATACTGAAAGTACCATGGACTGCCGAAAAAACTAACAAATCTGTCTTGGAAGAAGTATAGCCAGAATGCTCCCTGGGAGCAAGAATGGCCAGAGTTGGTCTCACCTACTTTGGTCATGTGTCAGAAGGGAAAGGCCCTCAACAAGATGGGCTGACACAGTGGCTGTAATAATGGGCTCAGGTATAGCAAGGATTGTGAAGATGGCACAGGATTGGGAATTGTTTCATTGTTGTATACAGGGTCGTTATGAGTCACAGCTAACTCAATGGCACCTAACAACAACAGTCTTAGGATCAACAATTCAAAATTATTTTAAACACGTAAGAAATTTGGGGGAGGGATTATTTGGAGGAATGGCTGACAGCATGGATGAAATAAGAGTGGAAACAAATCAATTGTTTTTAGCTGGATGATAGGGGTCCGTTACTGTTCTATTTTGAGAGCACTTGACTGCTAACCAGAAGGCTGGCTGTTCAAACCCACCAGCCACTCCTCGGAAGGAAGGCTGGGCAATCTACTTACATAGTGCTACCACCTTGGAAACCCAAGGAGGGGTCACTATGAGTCGGGTCCGACTCGACAGCACCTAACAACAACAACAACTATTCTATTTTGGCTAAATTTGAAATTTTCCTTCTAAAAAGTTTTTTTGTTAATGTATGGAACACATTTCTCATCATTCTTATTAGTCAGAATAAATAATGTTTGGTGAATAAGAACACAGAAAGATTTATTTCCCTTATTTCTTAATAATAACAAAAGTCTTTCCCATCTTTATTTCTTTGGAATTGATCAGCTCACAAATGAAAACTTTGATACACTAAAGACAAATTCAAAGATTTCTTCCATATACATTATGTCAGAACTTGCAAAGTAGAATTTATGGTGGCAGATAGACAACAGACAGTAAAAACTAGGTGAAACAAATCTCCCAGAAGAGTCAAAATCTTTTTAATTTAAAAAAATATGAAAAGAAAGGGAAAAAAAAAAAAAGGCCTTTACTTACGTAAGAAAAACAATCCCAGAACTTTGGAAGAAATTGAGGGAATTTATGAAGAATCAATATAATAATCCATTCTATGAAATATTTTATGGATGCTTGATTATTCATGAATCCAGCCTGGAAAATCTTGTCAATAATTCCATTCAAGAAATTCTAAGGAAAATAAATTTCACAAATTAAACTTTTTATTGTAGTTATTAATTTAAAAATTTTTTTAAAGTTTACAGCTCTAACATAAGTAACTTTATTATTTATTTTCTTGAAGAAAAAAACATGTAACATAATTGTAATTTTAGCTATTTTAAAGTGTATAATTCAGTACTATTAACTACATTCACAATGTTATACAACCACAACCCTTTATGATATTGAAGAATTTGCCATTATTCCCAGTTTCAATGTTTTGTTTCATTTTTTAACATGAAATGGTGCTGGGCTGTGTCAAGTGCCTTTTCTGTATCAAGTAAGATGATATGGTTCTTCTTCTCCTTTGTTGTCTTAATGTTGTGTGATAATACTGAACCACTCTTGCATTGCTGGGACAAACCCCACATGATCGTTTAACCCTTTTAATATGTTGTTAAGACTTGATTTGCAAGTACTCAGTTGAGGGTTTTTACTTCTGTTTTCGTAAGGTATACTGGCCTGTAGGTTTTTCTTTATCTGGCTTTGATATCAAGATAAAATTTGCCCCCATAGAATAAGTTAGAGGAAGTGTTCTATATTTTGGAAGAATCTGAACAGAACTGTGTCAATTACTCTTTAAATGTTTGGTAGAATTTTCCAGTGAAGGCATCTGGCCAATGACTTTCCTTTGTTGTGAGGTTTTTGGTTACTGAGTCAATTTGTTCACTTGTTAAGTGGCTATTCAGATTTTCTATTTCTTGAATCAGATTAGGATAGTAGAATGTGTCTAGGAATTTTTCATTTCATCTAGAGCATACTGGCTGGCCACAATTGTTGATACTATAATGTAATGCTTTTATATTTCTATGTTGTTATTGTTGTTATGTGCCATATAATCTTTTTTTTTTTTTTTGTCTCCTTCCTTTTTTTTGGTTAGTCTAGCTAACCATTAGGAGCTCTGGTAGCATAGTGGCTAAGGCACTTGACTGCTAACCAGAAGGCTGGCGGTTCAAACCCACCAGCCACTCCTCGGAAGGAAGGTTGGGCAATCCTACTTCCGTAGTGATACTGCCACGGAAACCCAAGGAGGGGTCGCTATGAGTCAGGGCTGACTCGACGGCACATAACAACAACAACAAGCTAACCATTTGTCAATGTTATTAATTTCTTCAAAGAACCAATTTTGGTTTGTTGATTCTATTGTTTTCCTATCTTCTACTTCATTTATTTCCACTCTAATCTTTATTATCCCTTCCTTCTGCTAGTTTTGCATTTAGTTTGCTTTTCTTTTTCTAATTCTGCAAGACATAACATTAGGTTATTGATTCACTTCTTTTTACATATACTATTTATGGCTCTAACTTTCCCTCTAAGAACTGCCTTCACTGTATACTGTAAGTTTTGGTATGCTGTACTTTCATTTTTATTTATCCCCACATATTTTCTAATTTCCCCTGTGATATATTCCTTGATCCATTAGTTGTTTAACAGTATGTTGTTTAATTCCCACATCAGTATGAATTTTTCCATTTTCCTTTTATTAAAGTCTAGTTTCCTTTCATTATGGTCAGAGAAAATACTTTATATGATTCAAAACTTTTTAAAATTTATTAAAGGCTTGTCACCTAACATATGGTCTATACTGGAAGATGTTCCATGTACATTTGAGAAAACTGTATTCTGCTACTGGCTGCTATGTTTACATATATGTGTTACGTCTACTTAGTAATAATAATGTTCAAATCTGCTATTTCCTTATTCATCTTCTGTCTACATGTTCTATACACCATTGAAAATTGAAGTTTGCAACTACTATTGTAAAATGTCTATTTCTGCCTTTAGTTCTTTCAGTGTTTGCTTCACATATTTTGGATCATATGTAATTGTTGTATCTTCTTATTCAACTGACCCTTTTACCAATATATAATGATACATGGGGTTTTCTTTGTTTCTTTACAGTTTTTGACTTAAAAAACTTTGCCTGGTAACAGTATTGCCACACCAGCTCTCTTTTGGTTACTATTTGTGTGGGATTTTTTCCCTATATTTTCACTTTTAACCTACTTGTGCACTGAATCTAAAATAATAGCAGATAGTTGAATCATGTTTTTTTTTAAATCCATTCTTCCAATCTCTGCCTTTGGATTAATCCATTTATGTTTGAAATGATTACTGAGAAGGGTGGGCTTTTCTGACATTTTGCTATTTTTCAGTATGTCTTATACTTTTCTTGTCACTCATTTCCTGCAGGACTGACTCCTTTTATTTAGCTGAATTTTGGGGTACTGAAAATTTGGCCCCTGCTAATTTCCTTTTGTATAGCATTTTAAAGATTTTTTGCTATTTTTAGGTATGTCTTATACCTCTCTTGTCACTCATTCCCTGCAGGACTGACTCCTTTTATACTTAGTTGATTTTTGGGGTAATGAACCATTTAATTCCCTTCTAATTTCCTTTTGTATAGTATTTTAAAGATTATTTTCTTTGTTGTTACCATGTGGATTACATTTAACATCCTAAATTTATAACAATCTACTTTGAAATACTATTAACTTCAAACACATTAAAAATATAAACAACAAAACAAAACAAACACCTCTATCCATCCTCTTCCTTAGATGATTACTGTAACAAATTACACCTTTATATGTTTTGTGCCCAATAACATGTTGTCGTTGTTAGCTGCCATCAAGTCAGCTCCAACTCATAGCAACCCTACGTACAAAAGAACGAAACACTGCCCAGTCCTGTGTCAGGCTCACAATTCTTGTTACACCTGAGCCCACCATTGCAGCCACTGTGTCAATCCATCTCATTGAGGGCCTTCCCCTTTGTTGCTGACTGTCCACTTTACTAAGCATGATATCCTTCTCCAGGGTATGGTCCCTTCCGACTATATGACCAAAGTAGGTAAGATGAAGTCTGGCCATTCTCATTTCTAAGGTACATTCCAGCTCCACTTATTCCAGGACAGATTTGTTAGTTCTTTTGGCAGTCCATGGTACTTTCAGTATTCTTTGCCAACACCACAACTCAAAAGCATCAACTCTTCTTTAGTCTTCCTTATGCACTGTCCAGCTCTCACATGCATATGAGGTGATTGAAAATACCATGGCTTGGGTTAGGTGCACTGTTCTGGTTACCTAGTGCAGCTCTGACAAGAATATACCACAAATGGAATGGCCTTAACCAACAGGAGTTCATTCTCTTATAGTCTGGGAGGTCAGAAATCCAAGTTCAAAATGCCAGGGTCTAGGGGCTGTGTGAAAGCCCCTCGACCTTGGGCTTCAGCTCTGCCTCTTGCTCCCGGCCCACTGAAGCTAGAGGCATCTCTTCACTCAGGCAGCTACTGGCTGCTGAGGCTAACAAGTTCAACAAATAAAATTGCACAGTCCCAATGTTACCAAACCACACGGCAGGCCATTAATTCAAGTCCACTGTAACTCCCAAGGTCAGCAGAGCATGACAGGCTGTTGAACAATGACATGGCTACATACAGGGTTTGAGCATACCATAAGCCTGAAATTATCCCCAAGGCTTCTCTTTATATACAGGAAGCAGACCACATCCCAAAGGCAACTAACTACTCAGCTGCTTGTGGTAGATCCCACTATGGAGTTGATTGCCAGTCTCATCATGGGGAATAACTACCGCCAGCTGCCCAGCCACTCAACCAGGCCCAGCCAAGTTGACATACAAATTTAATACCACATGCACCTTAGTCTTCAAAGAGACATCTTTGCTCTTCAGCCCTTTAAAGAGGTCTTTTGAAGCAGATCTGTCTAGTGTGATACGTTGTCTGATGTGTTGGGTGCTGCTTCCATTGGTGCTGAATTGTAGAACCAAGTAATAAGAAATCTTTGACAACTTCAATCTTTTCTCCTTTTATTGTAATGCTGCTTATTGGTCCAGTTTTACGTTGAGATGTAATCCACACTGCAGACTGTAGTCTTTAATCTTCATCAGTAAGTGCTTCAAGTCATCCTCACTTTCAGCACACAAAGTCTGTCGTCTCCATATCGCATACTGTTAATGAGTCTTCCTCCAATCCTGATGCCATGTTTTTCTTCATATAGTCCAGCTTCTCGGATTATTTGCTCAGCATACAAACTGAATAAGTATTGTGAAAGGAGACAACCCAGACACACTCCCTTCCTGATTTTAAACCACGCAAAATCCCCTTGTTCTATTAGAATGACAGCTTTCTGGTCTATGTACAGGTTCCTCATGAGCACAATTAAGTCTTCTGGAATTTGCATTCTTCTCACTGTTATCCATAATTTGTTATGATCCACACAGTCAAATGCTTTTGCACAGTCAATAAAACACAAGCAAACATCTTTCTGGTATTTTTTGCTTTCAGCCAAGATCCATCTGACATCAGCAATGATATCCCTCATTCCATGTCCTCTTCTGAATCCAGCTAGCACTTCTGGAAGTTCTCTGTCAATATACTACTGCATCCATTTTTGAACTATCTTCAGCAAGATTTTACTTGCGTGTGATTATTAATCATATTGTTGGATAATTTCCACATTCTGTGGGATCACCTTTCTTTGAAATGGGTAAAAATATGGATCTTTTCCAGTCAGTTGGCCAGGCAGCTGTCTTCCAAATTTCTTGGCAGAGACAAGTGAGTACCTCCAGTACAGCATCTGTTTGTTGAAAAACCTCAACGGGCATTTTGTCAATTCCTGGAACCTTGTTCTTCACCAGTTCCTTCAGTGCAGCTTCAACTTCTTCCTTCAATACCATTGGTTCTTGATCATATGCCACCTCCTGAAATGGATCAATTCTTTTTGGTGCAATGATGCTGTGTATTCTTTCCATCTTCTTTTGATGCTTCCTGCATCATTCAATAGTTTGCTTATAAATTTTTCAATATGGCAACTCGAGGCTTGAATTTTTTCTTCAGATCTTTCAGCTTGAGAAATGCTGAGTGTGTTCTTTCCTTTTGTTTTCTAACTCCAAGTCTTCGCACATTTCATTATAGTAATTGGCTTTGTCTGCTTGAAATGCTCTTTGAA